CGTAAAATTGTGAAATCACCAGTGTTATTGTCTTGGGTTTCTGAATAAAAAGCAAGACTCCTGAATCAGCGAGGGATTTCACATACTGTGTGCACAAAGATAGATGTTCAGGTGTGAGAGTACCTGCTTACTGAGATTATGATAACACAAAAAGTGTCGAAGCTTAGCCACATCAAACACCAGTCTTGCCACTTCTATTCTGCAATGCAGCATGAGTTCCTCACCTCCATGATTCCTATGTAATATGAGAACGGAGTGACTCGCAGCCCTTTGACCATGATGTCAGACAGGTGGTATGGGTACAGCATCAGGTGGTCCCGGCTGTACTTCAGGAGCTCCTCATAGTACTTGCGCTCATCCTTCCTCACGTGGCGCACTGCTCATAACACACAGACACAGCAGTCAGGTCACAGCCAGGGTTACTGTATGAGGGAACACTTCTAGTCAATCTATACCAGATCAATCCAGGTTGAAAAAGGAATATTGATCCGGAACAAGCTCCGAATGGTCACAAGAGAAATAACATAATTGATTAGATAAAGTGTCATGGACTTTTTAATTAAGTGGTAATATAATCACTTTCTCAATCATTGCAGACAAGTATGCTTAAGGATAATGCCAATAATATAACAGCAACTCATACACATACAAGCGTACCAAGAGAGGAGTCAAGTATTGCTGAATGTACCTGCAATAAAACATGCTAACCTGGTCTGGTGCAGTTACAATTAACACTAAGCAGCTATTTTACTTTTACATACACTTAAGCTAATGCAGAATAAACAATTAGATTTATCCTAAATGTATTTGATGATTGAGATTATATTTGGCCAATCCAGAAACTTACTCACATGCTTTATTGTAGACCCATAAAATGCAAGAGAATTTGTTTTCTCCGTCTCTTTTTAATCTCACATCGAATCATGACATGTCATACAGTAGAATGTGTCTGTCTAGTGTTATGGACAAACTTTCTTACCTAGGTTATTGCGGAATCGCAGCTGGTTGCGGATGCTGTACAGCAGCACATGTTTCTCATACTCGCGCTGAGAGTTCCCCAAACTCTGCAGAACAAACACAGCACATAGGTGAGGACCATGGCTGAATTAACCTGCTAGGGTGCAAATAAACTAGCTACTAGGCCCCTTTTAACCCCCTTTTCTTTCCACTGTGTGTGCAATGCATACAAATTTTCTATGCAAGAATATGACCTGGCCCCAGATTTACTACAATGTAATTTGATTTAACACATCAGTTTAAAAACATGCAAGATGTAAACACAAAACTGAAACAATGAAGGTCTTAAAAACTAGATTTTGACACAGGGACCCAAAACAGGACCAGGTAATCAAGGAAGGGCCATTTTAAGTTTGTTGTGTCAGCTGATATAGTGTTTTAGTAGTGCATACTTCCAAACAGATTTTCTAGGGATGCACCGATCTGGTATGCCTGATCAGTATCAGCACCAGAACTGACCTTATTAAGTGAATCAGGTATGGGCCGTGACATGACCAATCCACATTAAATTCTGTTTCTGTGTCAATGTCATTATTATTATTATCATTATTATAAGTTAACGTTTTCACTATCAGCTTAGACCACCAACTCAGTTTTTAGTGCCAAGGCAATCTATGACCTCATTACATCCAGGAAGTGAGTTATATGGATTTTAAATTCAAGGGAAATCAACACTGATATCAAATCGTACTCCTATTGGCAGAATTGAAATAACAAAATCGGTATCAGTGGAAAAAAACCTGACAACTTGGTGCACTCGTAAAATTATCAGTTATATTGGCACAACCCAGCTTACACACAGTAAGCCTGAAAGTCTTTTTCTGATCAGTTATTCAGCTTTGGTGAGGATGCACTGGGATGCAGGCAGCTGGAACAACAGCACACAGATACTCTACATGTGCACGTGCCCGCCTCCTCTTTGCCACGACATGTTGGCGTAACGGCACAACGTTTATGCAGGATGAGGGATCTGTGCACACTAATAACATCCTTAACGTTTTCCGACATTACAATGCGTGCAGGTGACAAGCACTAAAATCATGTGGTGCCACCTATCAAACAGCCATTAATGTTTACAATCTATGGTGTTGTCATCCTCATTGTCCATACTGTAAATCTGCGTGTCTATTAGTCCTGCATTAGGGATACTTCCTCTGTTGCTCCTCCTGAGGCTTCTACCATTTTCCCCATTAAAGGGTTTTTTTTTTTTGGTGGGGGAGTTGTTCGTCGTCCGCTTTCAGGGTCTAAGGACAGATGATGTTGTAATTTGCATGAAGCAAATTTGTGATTTGTAGTATTGGGCCACATTAATAAAATCTGACTTGACTCGACTTGTGTGTCATGTGATGCTAGTGTGAGTTATAGCAGAGGCTGCAACAGTGATGGTCAGTTATGGCTCCGGCTGAACGGAGAAACCGATGCAGAGGAAGGGAGCGAGCGGTGCGTCGCTGACAGCCGCCCGTGTGACATTGACAGGTTAACCCCCCTCCCCGCCTCCTCGCCCCCCGGCCTGAGGAGACGTTAAAACACGGTACCTGTTTGACGTTAGCGGGGAGCTTGTTCCACGGATAATTCTGCCTGATGTGAAATTCCACGTCCGTGTTCATCGCTAGCTAGCTAGCTGGCTAAAAGCAGAATCCCTCGAGACGGTCACAAACGGGCTCTCGGGCAAGTCCACGGTGACTTTACCCCACCCCGACACCCAACAACCGAGCGAAGCGACCCCCGATTTGCAGAGATGTTTTCTCTGGTGATTATTTTCCTTCTCAATAAACGGTCACTTCCTTGTTGTATTTTCGAACAAGCCGTTCGTCACGCTCGTGGCCACAGTCGTCACTTCCTGCCGAGGCGTGACCGTGGATGTGAATGGAGCTCTTGACAAATGAGAGGTGATTGGTTATCACACCTGATCAGTGTCGTGTCCAGTAATATTCCACCTCAAAAGGCTGTGTTTATTGTTATTATTAGGGCATGCAAAGCCATTCACAGCCTGCTGAGCAACATGTCAGGTAGTGTTGAGATCATGGACGGATTAACCTCTGAGGGGCACCAGGGCAAAAGTGAGCTGCTGGGCCCCCACATTACTTCCTTAGGCACCCAGAAACCAACCAGTAACATAGTGATAATTAATTGTAAAAGATAAAAGATAAACTTGAAACCAAGGTCAAGTTTAAAGTTTAACATTATTTCTTCACTTACACAATATCATTCAAAACATAAAAACATCAGGAAAAAAACTGAAAATCCTGATTTCTTTCTGCACACTTCTGGGGCTGAGCACTGTCAGTGGATTTAAATAAAAGGCATTATTATTCAGCACCAGGTAAATCAGTGAATCAAGACTGTAGGATTTTAAGCCAGTAAGATGAAGTAACAGCGGGAAATCATAATCTCCGCTCTGCACCTCAATCTGCATTTTTTTTTTTCAGAAACTAGCCTTTGTCAGATTTTCAGCTTGATCCCTGAAGGAGTCTGCAGAACATACTATGAGCTCCGAGCATGAAGCTGTCACTCGGTAACCAATAACAGAGTGTAGGATTTCACTGTGTTTCAAAGTCCACCAAAGATGCGTGTGCTCACATGTCATGATGTCTGTTGCTGACAGCTCACTTTCTTGTAGCTATGTCATTCAATCTGTCCACATGTAACTCCAGTTCCTTGTCATATGCCAGTAAACAAACATGACAATAATTCATCTCACTGCCTCAGGAACTGCAAGTTAAGGAGGGGCCACAGATAAGAAATGACAACTTGGAGACATGAGAGATTAGGAAAAAGGAATCTTAAATGCCTCAGAACTGTATCTCCCTCCGTAAAATATGAGTGGAAACATGAGGTTATGACATAAAAGGTTATGCCCCTTTAAAATTATGTGACGTCTGCTTGTAGCTCCTCATCAGCGGTTCAGGCTTTGATGTGGACATAAGCTGTGAGCAGTTTCTCCTCTTGGACTGTTTCATTTTTAGAGGCCTGATGAGGTGAAGGTATCCAGTATTTGACAAAAAAGCAAACTTGGAAGAAATAGATGTAATTTTATAAACATAATACTGTTTAACACCTCTATAGTGTCAAGGATTTTTTGACTATAATTAAATCCTAAAAAAAAAAAACTACAACGAGGAAGAGAAAGCATTTTACTGCTTTACCATGAAGAAAAAAATTACTGACTTTAGAAAATACTTTGGAAACAAGCAGAAATATTCTCACTGCACTTCTTTTTTTTATAGGACAAACAGTGTATATCCACTATATGCAGGATATAGCGTAATGGGTGTTATTTGGCAGTGTGACACACATTGCTACTAAGTAATTAACACCTCACACAGGTGACTAGTAGCAGTAGTAATAGAATCATTCCCAGTTTTGCACACTCATGTAACAACACCCAAAAACACCACCACACCTTGAGGTAAACTGTTCCCAGGTCTTACAGCTGTTTCTCCTGATCAAGCTGGCCCATCAGCGCTGCTCTATATTTACCTTCATCCTGGGTTACACACATACAGGAGGAGGAGGAGGAGGAGGAGGATGGGAGGACTTAAACGGCACAGGAAGATGGACAAAGGCTAGCAGCTCGGGGACATTTTGATTAAACACCAGCCTGGGTGGTCTCGATGGCTGACTCAGGACCCCGTGATGATTCTCCCTCCCCTGGCTATTGTAAACACTCTCTCCCCTGGACCCTGGCAGAGCTGTTAAGCCGGCAACCGGGTACCAAACGGCTCTGTGTCACATGAGAGGCCTGGCTGGAGTCACAGTGGCCCAGGATACTATTCTTAGCTGCAGGAATGTACACAGTGGCCTCATGGCGAGCTCACCAGCGCCTAACTGGAGAGCCTTGTCGTTTCTCTGTGTCATGCTCCTTCGTTCTCCCTGACTACAACACCCACGTTCTCTCTGGACTAATTTTTGGCTCTTTTTTGGTTGGAACTGAAATTTTTTCGGACCAGACTGACAGGATATTTTCGATATTATTGACTTTCTGAGGGCAGGAGGTAAGGATTCACCCAGTCACAGATGTTGTTGAACTGACAGCAGGCTCGGTCGGAAACTCCAAGTCATGGGTTTATCTTATTATGTAATCTTTTAGTTCAATTTAGTTAAGTTTTTATTGTGCAACAACAGTTTTCTTTAATTTTTTAAACGATAGCAAACAAAAAACGAATAAATAAATATATAAATATGTAGATTGTAATCAGACACTTCCACTATTAGATGACTAAAGTAAGTGTGTACTACATGTTTTTACTTAATGATAATTATCATTGTGACAGTTTTCCACTAAACTGTCACTAAAAAGTATAAAAACTTTTATGTGAATAAAATAACATTTTATGATGACTACACAGTGTCCAAAGGGATTCAAAATAATTCTGTCTCTACTAGCAGTTCTTGTCTAGGATCTGAGCGTGATCTATGGAAAAATGTCACTCACAGCCATTGGCATTTCATAGTATACAATAATGATTAGAGGTCCAAATATATCAGAGAGGCTGGGCCGGTAAGTGGGAGTAAATCAGTAGCTGTCGTGGGAGTGATTAGAAGACTTAGTGTTGCTAATGGCCCAGTGAAATTCCTGCTCTTTAAGCAGCAGGATCATCACAAACCCTTCAACCAGGCGGAGACAGGCTGAGACTGAGAGGGAGATATGGTTTTAAAAAAACACAAACGTAACATATAGAAAAGAGCAACAGAAACAGACGAGGAGAGAAAGTCAAAGTGATGGGGAGATGAAACACAGATGGTGTGTTGACACAGCTCTGGTAGTTTTATCAGTGATGGATAGCTTCATTACATAAATGTGGCCTAATGCTACATGGATGCATCAAGATAATTTAGAAGCAGTTCAAAATAGAAATGTGTGAGTCAGTAATTCACATCGAGGACAGCTGCACTGCAGGAGTTTTAAGAGTTTAAGTGCCAGCTAATAAATGAAAGGGTTTGCTATCACAGGGGTTAGTTTGAGGGCAAAGGTGAAAAAGCCAGATAAAAAATTAAAGGAAGATAAAGTGAAACTGTGCTAGCCTTCAATATCACCTAATTCTACAGTGCATGTCGTGTTGTAGATATAAATTACTTTAATAGTTTACAGATTAAACTAATCAGCTAATCAGTCATTAATAAAATTTCTATATTCCTTTAAAGCATAATGCAATATACACAATTTGAAATAACTTACCTGTATGAATGAAACAGCGATCAGAAAAAATGCCAGAACAAGGTGTGTCACCCCAGTTTCAAGTAGCATTTTGGTAGATTAGGTATTTGGTGGGTTATTGGTGGATGCAAGTATTTTTGTAGAAGCATCACAATCTACTTTTAGATCTTAACAGAATACTTTGCCTGGCATCCTCACAGTGAGACTCCAGGAAGTCAATTTGCCTGGCCAAGAAGTAGTCTGGCACATAACCTCCTGTAAAACCACAATTTGTTTTTAGAGGCACTGGTAAGTGAATTTATTACCTTTATTTATTGCCTGTTTCCAGTCATTATGCTAAGCTAAGGTAACCATGTCCTGGCTCTGGCTGTAGCTATCATGTTTAACATATGTAAGAGGGGTAATGATCTTCTCATCTAACTCTTTGCAAGAAAGCGAATAATTGGCACAATGTCAAACTATTTCTTAAATGGAGGTAGATCAACTCAACTTCAACAGCACCTAAAAAACCTTTTTCTTTATCACAACATTCAAGTCTAATTTCTGCACAGGTCAGACTGTAATGTCATCAGTACTATGTGTTTGTCAACCTTCTCTTTTCAGTGGACAACAGAAATGCGACACTATGATCATGGACTGATTCTCTTTTTCTGCTTTACACAGAATGGCCTGTAGACCACGAGACGTTTTCTCTTTCAAAGACTCAGAACTTCCCTCCCAACTGCTCGGCCAGCTCAACATCCTCCGGCAGGAGCGTATCCTGACAGACGTCCTGCTCTGCACGGAGCATCAGGAGATCCCCTGTCACAGGAACGTCCTGGTGTCCAGCAGCCCGTACTTCCGTGCCATGTTCTGCAGCAACTTTCTAGAGAGCAGTCAGGCCCGTGTGAATCTGAAGGGAATCTCTTCGAATGTCATCAGCGGCATCGTGGACTATGTCTACACAGGCTGCATCACTATCACAATGGAGATTGTGCTCCCGCTCATGCAGGCAGCATCCATGCTTCACTATGGAGGTCTCTTTGAGGCCTGCTCGTTGTTTCTCCAGGAGCAGCTGAGTCCAGAAAACTGTCTGAGCATGATCCGGCTCTCTGAGATCCTTCACTGTGAGAGTCTGAGGGAGAGAGCAAAGGAGATGGCCGTTAGGTTTTTCTCTGATGTAGCTGCAACAGAGGACTTCTGTGAGTTGTCTCTTCCTGAGCTCATGTGTTACCTAGAGGATGACCGACTTTGTGCAGAGGAGGAGCAAGTGTTTGAGACCCTCCTGGCATGGATCCACCATGACCCGTTCTCACGTCGTGGTGCAATCCATGATCTCTTCAAGAAAGTTCGTCTTCGCTACATCCATCCAACGTACCTCTTCCAGTTCATTGCCAACGACCCTCTGGTACAGTCCTCCACACTCTGTACGGAGATAATCGAGTCAGTGCGTCGCCTCATGCTCACAGTCAGTGCTAAGTGTAGTCGTGAGCTCAAGCCGCTTTGGACCACACCACGGCGTTATACCTGCAGAGAGACACTGGTGGTGGTTGGAGGACGCAAAAACAATGAACAAACTTCTCGAGAAGCCTTACTATATGATGAAAGGACTCATCGTTGGCAATGGTTGGCCAAGCTCCCCCTGCGCCTCTACAAAGCTGCGTATGTGTGTATTCACAGCATCCTCTATGTGCTTGGCGGGCTCAGCCTCTGCATGACATCAGGCGACAGCTCAGTCAGCGCCACAGTTTACACACTCTCCCTTAAAACCAACCAGTGGAGGACTGCCGAGCCCATGTTGGAGCGACGATACGCCCACCAGAGTGTGTCCTATCAGCACTTTATTTTTGTGTTAGGAGGCATTGGGGTAGATAAGCGAATCTCTCAGTCAGTAGAGAGGTATAACAGTATGTTTAATCAATGGGAGGCCATGGCGCCGATGCCCACAGCGGTGCTGCATCCAGCTGTTGCAGCCAGTGATCAGAGGATCTATGTTTTTGGAGGGGAGGATGCCATGCAGAACCCTGTCAGGCTGATTCAGGTAGAGAAGACCATTCATTTTAGGGTCCAAAGATAGGTGCTAATATTTGTCGCCATTCAAATACAGGCGACACTATGTGTGAATCACAATATCTGATGCTCTAGAAAACAGACTGACTGTTGATGTTTGTCGTGTGTCAACAGGTGTATCACATCTCTCGCAACTTGTGGTCGAGGCTAGAGACAAGGACAGTGAAAAATGTTTGTGCCCCCGCAGCGGTCATAGAGGACAAGATCTACATCATAGGAGGTGAGCTCAGATGTCAATGTCCCTAACGTTTACATTGTTTCACACTAGAAATAAACTCATCAACATCTTTGCAGTTGGTGTTAATTTTAACTGTTTTTAAAATCATGTAGGACTTGCATCATTAGAGGATAAGGTTAGCATTATTATTCTTGTCAACAAATCCAATCAAAAGACTTACAATTAACAAGGTGTTAATCTGTCTCTCGATATACTTCCCTCCTCTGTGACTCTGAGCCCAGAGCCCATTGCTTCCTACCAAAGACATAAAAATATAAATGCTGGTGATTTTATGTTTTTACAAAAGGCTGTGTAATTTCCTGAAATAGCTGGACACTGTAGTTTTTTGCAAACATAACTCAAATTGTGAATTTGTTTGGGACTATTTTCAGCGGTGGATTAATACACATTTGGTGCTCTAGTGAGTATTTCCAGCAGCAGTAGAGTGTGTGGGTGGTTTAACTGAAATTAAGTTCCAGTATTAATTGTAATGTTGACACCCATTGCAGCGTCATGTCTCACTGATGGAGCGTGTGCATGTGATTTGTTGACAGTAAGAAACATATCACCCGACTGAAAACTTTAATTTCCAGGGTACACAAGGCGAATGATAGCTTACGACACCAAAGCCAACAAATTCGTCAAATGTGAGAATCTAAAGGAGCGAAGGATGCATCACAGCGCTACGGTGATCAACAACAAGCTCTATGTCACCGGTGGACGCATCCTCAACAGCCACGATGTCATCGAGGACTCAGACTGCTTCGAGTGTTACGACCCAAAGACGGACGTTTGGACTTCAAAAGGCTCTTTGCCATACAAGCTCTTTGACCACGGCTCTCTGCCGCTGGTCTGTGTTTCCAACAGACCCAACCCGCCGTGATCTATCAACCAGGATGCTACTTTTGGCGAATGCTTAGCTGCATGTTCTTCACCTCCCCTTTGCCATGATTTATTGGCCTCTAACTACACAAATGGGAAACCATTTCAAAATGACTGCATTCCTTCACGCAGCTCAGTCTCTGTCACAACTTAGCAGCATGTTAAGCCAGGCTGACTTTAACGTGAATCAAAGGAGAGCTCAGCTGACGCGCAGAAGTGTCAGGTCTAAGACACCTGGGGTGGAACTGAGCTGAGAACCCCAGAGATGACAAGAGGCAGTCACACAACAAGCAGCTGTTCAGACACCTACGTAATCCAAAAAGCTCTTTCCGCAGATGGCTGCACTCATTTGATGTCAACTAAAAGTGTTAATGTTTTAATTTCCCTGACATTTATACACAGCCTATCACTCTGTCTGGCAGCTGCAGACGACTTCTCTGTATGGTTGTGCTAAATCCACGAACTCTGGCATTTTTGTAAAACTGAGAGTGACAGATCATACAGCTAATAAAGTTGCACTTTATAGAAAATACATTCCTCCGTGACCCACAGGCATCAAACAGAGTGCACTTGATGACGAGAACAGTTGTGACAGCCCATGGACCAGCTCCTTTTGCGGTGCTGGGTAGTCTATCATGGTTGCTGAAATGTTGCTAAGAAGAACAGTTTTACTGAAATGACATTATCTGGGCCAACATTATTCCAGTTTTGTTGGCTTGATCTATGACTTTGAGAATTATTCCTGCAACCCCCAACAAAGTGTGTTCTGTGAAGCATTTTATGAATGTTTTGCTTGAAAATCACAGTCCCAGAAGTAGAATAAAAAGATGTGATGACTCAGAAAAGTCACTGTAAACACAAATGATTGTGTTTTCCTCAATGGTGGTTTACCTTTAATCTCATTATGTGCAATTGTTTGGTAAGGAAAAGGGATTCTCAGGCAGCTATGTTGATGTGAGGATATGTGACAATGCTGCCTTTGAATGCAAGTGCCTTGTGGGGATGCAGTGACCTGCTAAGCACAGCTAGGACCGAAAATGGTTTTCGGGGAGATTGTCAGCCTACAATGGGCTCATGTTGACACATATGTAACCTGCATGTGGCTGCTCACAAGCACATTCACTGATCTGATACCTAGCTTCCATTTGACAGCTTCCATTTGTCGACAAAAAGCAGTAGAGACCGTTTGAGACTGTTTGAGACATGTCTTACTATCACACTGGCCACTACTGTCTTCATCCTGTAACCCTCTTGACCCACATTGAGCATACATTCACTACTGTACTCAACCAGCCTCCGGCCCGGGTGACGATCGATTGCCATGGCAACCCTGTTAGCACCCCAACGGATCATCTGTGGCATGCATCCCTGTAGTGAGTCTATCTATTTAAGACCGCATCACTGATCAGCTGCATGCTGCACAACGTGCTGCTGTTACTTGCACAATTGAAAACCTTTCTTTATTTTTCTTTTCTTTACATTTCTTATTGTACAACATGGTTATATGTTGGTTATTGACTTACCTGTGTGACTTGGTTTTTAAAGGTGGTTTTTTTGTTGTTTTTTTTACAATATGTGGTGACACAACAAAGCAAAACCTGTTTTTAATTCATTGCTTTGAATCTCTCTACATACAAGAACAGGTGACTGAGTCTGTGTGTTCTGCTTGCTGCTCTTTAGTTGTACTTGGTGCAGAGTTAAATGGTCCTCCATTTGTCTGCAGGCTGGCTGAGTCATGTTCCCTTCATATACAAGGGAACATTGTTGACACGGACACAGAAGCATGTTCACTGGCTATAAGGCCTCACATGTGCTTTCCATGTCATAAAGTACCAGTGCAACATCCACAGAAGTATTGCATATTTTAAGAATTAGAGAAGAAGTTAAAACTGTTTATCTTAGATGAAATTAACACAATGCTTTGTGGCAAGCTCTGACTGACGTTGGGTTAAATTGCTCCTTGTTAGCCTGATCACTCTGAATGCCTCACAGTAACCTTCTATATGTGTCTATGTGTGTTGCCTACTTAAATCATTATCAAGACAAAAAGACTGTAAACAATGAAGCTAAAACTTTACAAATTTGAGCTGCATCAAGATAATTTACCAACAGCTCAGATGTCAGATGATGCTCCACTCAGTTAGACAGAGCAGCATTTAAGAACAACACCCTGTGAAACTTTTTATTGAGCTGCCGCTAAAGACACGGCCTATTCAGACTTTTTATTGACTGTGTGTTTGCTTGCTGTCGTTCCATAGAAACCAGTGTGTGAGGGTCACCCCTCAGAGGGGCTGTGGCCTGGCAGGTTATTTTCAGTGTCTGTTACTAACCCATTAACGGATAGCATTTCATTGCTTGCCAAAGCTGTGTGTCAGCTTATGCACGCATGCACACAATAGTGGTTAAGTGACCTGTATACATATATAGGAGCAGAATGCATGCATCAGCACACACATATATCCACCACTAGAAACCTTATGCTCTATTAACCTTGCAGATTTTCAAACACGCTGTATTCACATTTGAACTTTTTCACCTAAATCTGAACAACCGTCTGGAAAGTATCAATACTGTGTAAAGAAGTGTAAAGAAAGAGTAACAAAAACAATGACATGAAATCATCCCTGAGATCCCAATTCTTCTGTCTTAAACAGCTTTTTCAAAAGCCTTTAGTTTCTGATTGTAGAATCAGATCGTGGTTTGAGAGAAACATCACAACCAGGGGCACCTGCTCTCAGCTTGGAGTAATTTTGAATACTAATTGAGGAGGTTCCCTGCTGTGTCACATGACAGGGCCCTTTGCCAATCTGTAATGTCACCCCCCTACTCTGGGTTAATGTGATGGACAGGGGGTTTAAGAAGGTTTACACCTCTACAGCCAGGGATGGTTTAGAAATGCTCTGCCATCTGTGTGCGGCCAGGGTTAGCTATCTTTTACACAAGTCCCACTAAGATCAGTTAAGCACATCACCCAGCTCCTTTCAAGCATTAATGCTAAAATGCCTGTACAAACAATATAACCTCTTAAAATGCACCTAATTCTTAAAGCTAAAGACATACAATAAATATTTACAGTAAAGATAAAATAAAGCGACAGAATCAGTTTTAAGATTGAGCATGGCCTCTTTCATTTATTTTCAATACCAGAGAAGAACTACATAAAAATCAAGAAACCAAGCAAAAGAATGAAAACTGAGGTAAGTGAAGGTCTCCAGGTAGCCCATGTAGAGTATTTCATCCTGTTGCAAGATGTCAATTGCAAAGACAGTGTTTATATGACAACACTTTATGTTTCATCACCCTGTCAGCCTAATTAAATATATACAGTATATACTGAATATGGAAAACTGGTGCAACTTAAAATGCCTGCAACACACATCTTCTACCACACGATGTCCCTCAGACAACAGGATGATGTGAAAGATTTCTTTTCATCGCCCTCTGCTGACTGATATGATTTTGCACTTGCGTAATGGGGTAACCGAGTGAAACATTAGAATCATGATGATTTTATTAGAATTTCTGATAAAAACAAATAGATCACAATACAGCATGCACACATTCCTTACAGAGGTCTAAAATAAAACTGATCAGATGTACTATGGCATGGCATCATTACTTGACAGGCTGGTTAGACTTTGTGTCCATTTGGTAACAACTGTCACAAAACACACTATATGAACATAAGATGTTTATGTGTGTATGTATGTGTAAATGTGAGTGAGACTATGTTTTTTTAAAAGGATAAAATGTTCATAAAGCATATTCGATGACAGTCATATGCTTAAAAATGGCCTACAATCAAGTCAGTGGAGTGGAGTGTTTTGTTTTAGCCATTATTCTTTCTTACAAACAACCTGCAGCCATTCACACACATTTTCATTTATGAGGAACCCTGGGAAATGGCACTATGGACTCCCAAGAGCTGAAAAACAAAGATTTTAATAATTATTAATTAAGACAAAAACCCAAAATAAACAATGAATTGGTCCAATAAAAGTGCTATTTGCGATTTAGAGGAGTATCTTAACACTGAGGAGTTTATAAACTATACAATAGAAATAAAATCTTACTATTACATTGACACAAACAAAATAACACTAATAATAAAGGTCTCAGAGAAGAATTTCAAATAAAGAAATTCTAGAGGCAGAAATCTTAAAACATGGTAAAATTATACTTCTACTTAGTTTAGTTTTTTTTATATTAAATTTAAATTTGGAACAATTAGGATATACAGCATGTACACATTCATAGCCCACATTTCTGTGCTTCTATTGCCCAGCTTGGAACATGGAAGGGCAAGAAACCAAACCTTGGATTACCCTAAAATGCACCCCATTGAGTTTATCACACATATGTACAATAGGTCCATAACTACAAAGGCATTCAAAGAAAAAAAAAAAAATACAGTTTGGCACCAGGCACAGAATTGAATATACATTATAACTAAAAGCTAAACCCCTCCCAGAAAAATAAACTGACTATTCTTACCCCTCAATGTGTTCTGTAATAATAGCAAATATGCAATTAAACTGGCTAAAAAATGAATGATGTAACATTTGGCATAATTGTTGCTGGAAGAATAAAGGAGGGGCAGGGGGTGGCTGAGATCTACCCCAGCAGACCTGACAGGAGGATCTACAGTGCATTTCTGTCAAAAAGACAATCGGTTGTTCTTCCTGAGTGCTCCAAGTAAACAGGAACTGGAAAACTTGTTGATAGCTAAGATTAGGGCCGGACCTTGATACTATTTACACGAAATCGCTGCAGCTTTTGGCTTTCTGTATCAGCTGATCCCGCTCTTATGTCAAATATACATTCTCTTACCTGGTTCACAACAGCGACATCAGCAGCTCAATATATCCATTTTACCCACCGTGTCCTGAACTACCACTGCTACTGCTAGAAACATGGCTGTCCAATGTTACGTGGCAGCTACTGCAGAGTCCTGACTAGTCATGGCCAATCATAGCGTGCCAACTTTTCCTGAGAGGGGGTAAGGTACAAGAACCTTTACTACCTTTGGGGTGGGATGGACTG